GATAAATAAAAAACATTGCTCGAAAGATTTTTTACTCATTAAAACCCAAAAATATTATAAAATATTTTCTATTTAGAAATATTAAAAAATTAAAGTTTTTCCTCCATATATCGTGTCTGCTATTTAGAAAATTAAAATTTTGATAACCAACTCGTAATCAGCATTTCCAAAAACCATAAACAAATACAATTGGATTATTTGACCAATTGGTTAAACTATGTCCGCCATTTTGGGACCGCCATGTTGAAAATCGTAATTCTGATAACAGATTCATATGCAGCGACCACAAAAACCTCCGAGACGAAAGTTTGAGATCATTCACGACACTTTCTGAATTTTGGCCAGCTTTTTGGGATTCTGCCCCACTGTGCGACGCAGAGGGAAACGACCTGTCGTGGTTTCGCGTGTGAATGCCAAATCTCGCCACCATTCCCAAAGCGTGGTCTTAGTAAATCAATAATGTCTATTTTCATTGTGTAAAACAAACAAAATAATTTTGCATAACAGGCACAAACACATTTAAAAAACTGTAGGTACATCCGAATTTTTAAAACTCATTCCCGTTACGGGAAGACTGATACAATTAAAAAATCAGTTAATTGGACAACAATGCTTTTAAAAACAATCGACAAAAGTGACGCTGTAACTGGAGCATCGTACCGGGTGTCCCAGATAACTACACAAAAGGAGAAACCTTATGAAGACGGGGAAATGATAAAACTGACGTTTTTAGAAACTGCAGACTCATTATTTGCCAACTTTAGAAATAAAGACGAGATAGTATCTGCTATAAAATCTGTGCAACTTTCTGCTTATACAGTGATGAAACGAGTAGACTTAATGAGCAATTATATAGTTGTACAGTTGATAAGTGACTTCGATAACTGTGCTTAATTTTTCACTGCAGCTGGACGAATCCCCAGATGTCGTTGACACCTCTCAGATGGCCGTTTGCAGTGCTTTTACGATCAAAGAAGATCTTTTGAAGTTTATTCCACTAAAAGGACAGGCTACTGGGCAGGACTTCTTTTAAAAATATTATTTCTTTTCAGAAAATTCCAATATCGAAAATGGTACCTACTCTTATCTTACCACTGCATTATCCATCAGCAAGCATTATGTGGACATTTTCTAAGACTAAACAACGTTATGAAATTGGTAGTAAATATTGTGAACAAGATTAGAGCTCAACCGTTACAAAGATTATTCAAAACCTTGGCCGATGAAATTGATTGCCAAGACGGGGAACTACTTATTCACTTTCCGATGTTGAGTAAGGACGAGTGCTGAAACATTTTAATATCATATCTGCCATAGTTCTATATTTTAAGCAACGTGATGAACCGATTCCGGAGCTGGGAAATTAAATCTGTCAGAGATTTTGGTATTGATAATAATAATAAACGGCTTTATTCGCGGAGTTTAGCACAGCTATTCTTACACTCAACCTTCCTGAAGACTAAAGCTTAAAGCTAATTTGACATACAAATATGGCATTTTACATATACAGTAAACGATGAATGTCTATCAATCTAACTAAAAAAGAAAATAGTGGTAATTGATCACAGGGCTTCATTGATCCTATGATGAATTCCTAGAAGATGTTGCCTGAGATGCAGTTTGAAACCGATATTATTAGTATTTGATATATCGATGTTCCTGCTATAGATGTTAAAGAGAGATACTGCATTATACGTGAAATATCAGGCATTGTAAAATGGTTTTGATGTCTTATATTGACATTATGTATATTGGACCTAGGGATCAGCTTTTCTACTAAATATACAGGATTCTTAGAATATAATACACGATTCAATGTTTGAACAGAGAATTGATATTAAGCCAGTGTGAAAGCTTGAAACTATTAGATATATGGTCAAATTTACGTAAGTTACAGACAAAGCGGCAACAGTTATTCTGCAATCTTTGCTGGCGCATTTGAGTCGAATAGTCCAGGCATGGATAAAAAACTATCAAACCATTACTGATAATTGATAGCACTAAACTTTCAGCCATATTTTTCCTAGTCTTGAAGTTAATAATGTACTTATTGACATATAGTACTCGCAGTTTCAAATAACACCTCTGAGATATTGTTTTAATGTGTTGTAGGTATCAAACCAAGTATCCTACAGCTAGTTGAAAAATAAAGTCGTTGTTCATTCAAGAAGAGGGTCAGACCACTGCTCAGGTTTTCTCGCTTGTGGTCAGAACAGAAAAGTCCAAGTTTGGGTTTGTCAGGATTTAGTTTCAAATTGTGTCCTTTACAATTGTCAGATACTGTTCGTAAGTTAGTGTTGATTAAATCATTTGCCTGTTAAACGAGAGATGGTTCAAAATGAAACAGAAGCTGCGTGTCATCAGCATAAGATTGAATGTGTGAGTACTGTACGGATTTCAAGACATCAGCTTTGTATATAATGAATAACAACGGTCCTAAAACAAAACCTTGAGGAACTTCTGATGTTATTGTTGTCATCTCAGATCTATTATTATGTAGAATAACGCTTTGCTTACGAAGACTTAAGTAATTGCAAAATAAGTTCAACGCTGTATGGTCAAGGTCACAATGATACAGTTTTGAGCACATAAGTGAAATGGTGTCAAAGGCTTTTAAAAAATCCAGGAATATAAGTACAGTGGCAAGCCTCTTATCTAGCGACCGTATAATTTCATCATTAAGATTTAAAAGAGCATTTTTCTTGTGGATATTACAGAAAAATTAAATGAGCTTCATTTGCAGCTTCAGGGGGAGACAAAGAACTAACAGAAATGATTTCTGATATAAAAGCGTTTATCAAAAAGCTTGATTTTTGGGAACAAAACTTAATCTATGACGATACCAGGCATTTTCCTGTTCTCTCAGAAAATATATCTCAAAGTCCATTAGAACCGTATGATAGTAAATTTCAAGTAGAAATGGTCTCTAGCAGGATAACTTCAAAAATCGTTTCAAGGATTTCAACGAAATTTCTATAGTGGCGCAATTAATTGTTTCACCCTCCATGGAAATTGATATCCAGCAGTTTGCAACTTCTGTTACGCAGAATTTTATAGAAGACATCGCTGCGACAGAAATGGAAGTGATTGAATTTCAAAATGATTTAGCTTTAAAATCATTAGTCTCAAATACAAAATGTATCTGACCTTCAGTAAGTAAAGATAAATATTCAGTTTCATGTCGTGTTGCCTTAAAAGTGAAATCGTTATTTAGTTCAACCTATTTGTGTGAATCTTCTTTTTCAAATATGAAGTTTATCAAAAACAAAAACCGTAATCGTCTTATAGATGAACATTTGTTTAATTATATTCGAATGGTGGTATCAAATTATACTCCAAACATTGTTGAACACGCATTTTTTATCTGGATATGTTTTCGTTAAAAATACTGCGTTGCTGTTTTTATTATTGGTTACCTCTATTAAGTCGTATGTGACATGCTTTTGTACCTGACGAAAAATGTTGTTTATTTTTCAAACATCTACGATTGGTGGGAATGGATGTAGTTATCTATTATCTATTACGATAGATATTAGTTTATTTAAGTTTATTAGGATGATTTTGTATTAGTAAAATAAATACATGTATACCTCATACGCCTACAGACCTGGCACAGCCAGAAGCTTCCATCCAATAAATACATGCTTGCAAACACTCTAACTGCCTCAGCTAAACGGACAATGTTACGGAGGACAATATTCTGAGAAAGGTTTATCGATAAGAACGTCAGTGTGGCTTTTCCTTTGGAGCTTAGGTGCAAGTGTCACGCCTAAAGATACAACTTGTTCTCCATCTTCGATGTTTACTTGTTACACGCATTTTTTATCTGGATATGTTTTTGTTAAAAATACTGCGTTGCTGTTTTTATTATTGGTTACCTCTATTAAGTCGTATGTGACATGCTTTTGTACCTGACGAAAAATGTTGTTTATTTTTCAAACATCTACGATTGGTGGGAATGGATGTAGTTATCTATTATCTATCACGATAGATATTAGTTTATTTAAGTTTATTAGGATGATTTTGTATTAGTAAAATAAATACATGTATGTCGCATACAGCTGTGTATAATTTCATTTGAGTTGACTTACTTTGTTTACGACTCCCTGTTTATTCCAACATTATCAAAGTAACTCAACCCACTGAAAAGGTTTGCGACCACTGCTCTACTGAATAAAAAGTGTTTTCAATAAATATCTTTTTTACTCTCTTTTACACGGTCAGGCAGTTTATTATAGAGTTTACGAGCATTACTTTGGGTCCTTTTGGAGTGAGAGTTAGCCTAGTAGTTTAAAATTGACGTTCGGACGAAAGTTGCCTGACTGGGCGCGCGGCTTTAGTCTACAAACCCAATTTTCTCGACTGTAAGCAGCAATTTGCGCATTTTCTTCAAATACATGAATAATATATTCTGTATCCTAAATTATGTTTCGCATAATCTTTATTCAAAACCTTCATTTTGTTTCAGGTAATGATGACTTTTGCACGTCATTGTGGGTAAGTTTATATCTGTACATCTGAGGTAAAGTGTACTATGTCACAAAAGGTAGATTTTACATGAGAGCTTGGTAAAGGATATTTCCTCAAATATTCTGCTCTTGTTCATTTGCACATTTACAAATCGACCTCAAATTTTTTTCTACGAACGAAAAGGTGGTGCTTCACTTAGGAGCATGAATTTTTTGTTTTAATACCAGTAATTTTTTGTTTAACAGGACTTGGTACCTTTTACCTCTGAAACTATTTTCTATCGGTGGACATGGTATGCTAGTTTCTTGAATTTAGATGGCAGTATTTTATACCTCTGAAAACAGTATTCCTTCCTGCACTTAGCTCATTAATTAATTTATTAAACTAAGACATGGAATGTGTAATTCAAATCATTCTTTATTATCATAAAGTGTAAAGTAAATACAATACGACGTGAACATTGGAAACTAACAAACTATTCATTTGGATACTGTATAGAGTTAAATGAGGGCCTTTATGAATTGATAACTCTATCCGTCAATGACATTGTTCCCAGTTTGAGGAAGATTTTGATAAAAGTTGTCGTACATTTTTGGTACCCATTGCATTAGCTTTTGGAGGTCTTCGTATTTTTTATCTGATATGGGCTTAGGTCCAACTCTGATCAAAGGAATTTCTTCAGGAAAGATGACCGATCTTCGTGAAATACGATTCAAATCCAAAACCTCGGAATCTCCATTGAATGTGTCCTTACAAAACATCTTACCGGGATGGTCAGCATGAACCTGAACGTGAACTAACTCGGATATATTAAAATCGTTTCCACTTTCAAATTTTTTTCTATGCAGAAAGGGTGAACTGGATCCCTCTATCAGTGACAAGAAATTTTTTAAATCGGTAGTCTCCATGTTAATCACCTAAAATGGATTACTGGTACTAGAAATTCGCACCAGCTGTTGCCAATCCCATGGAGTCATGATTTGGAATTTAGTCATTCTTTTTCTTGCTCTCTCCATTAATGAATGATCACTATCTACCTCTAGGTGAGTATGCCCCCTTAAAAGATATTTGTGATTTATTACTTTTAATGTTGGTATCTGCCTTAAAATTGTAAAGTAAGCTAAAACTGAGTTAATGTTGCGATTTTGTGATGGGCAGTTATCTGACCATATAGTGATCTCTTCAACGTCCTTGCCAACATTGACAAGAGCCCATTTGAGTAAGCAAGATGCCATTTCATTTCTCCCTCTATCTGCAACACTCTCATCCTACATACAACAAGTTGTGTGATTTTTGAAGACATGTTTAATTGTGTAGTTTATCCAACATTTCTTGTTTATAAAGCTCGTACATTTTTTGGATGAGCGCTCTCTACTGTAATGAGACTCTACTGTTGGAAACTTCAAAATGTGGTCTCTTATATATACATAACCTTTTTACCTCGATTGTCAAATTGAACCATACCACCTATGACTTTTTTACATAGAGCAGCAGACACAAATGTTCGCGAAATTCAAGTGTTCAAAAAGAACGATTTACAGACCTCAACTTGAATTACAATAGAGAAGTTTTCTTATCATTTGCCTTTTCCCCAGTTCTTTCACGCCTCCTTTTGATTGGAACTAATTGTACACATGAAGCAACAAATTGTCGTTTAAGGTCGATGGTTTTGGAAGGTGACCAAAACTGTTCAAAGATACCCTCGCGCTCGATCTGGAGACTTTTTTAGAGCATTGGAACCTGCACTTATCTTTACAAGATGGGCCCATAGATTTGGCCTTAACTACAGTATTGCGCTTAGAAATATACTGTTCACCAGAAAGGGATTTACGTTTCCTCACATTACATTTCCATTTAGCTATATTCCTCTGACGCTTCTTTGTCTTTGCCGGTTCTGACACGTTTTCCTCATTAGCTGAACCTAAATGTCTCTCAGAGCTGTCGGTGCTAGTAGTATTATCTGAATTTACAAAATCTGGATCTTGTATGCTGTCATCCGAATTCTCAAAAGCCAGGCTTTTTTCACCTTCCATGTTATCGACGGATGCGTTTTGCCTCCTTTTAGCTAAAACAAAAACGGTAAAAAAAATACTAAAAGATATTGGGAAGAAATTGTTCACCTTTGTCACTATTTGATCTATCGCACTGAAGCTCCGGAGCAGCTGTTAGATTCATATTACTAGATTTGAGTAAGCTGGGCGAAGATGCGGAACTCCTATGCAACAAAGGACCGTCAGAGGTCGTGAGTTTCTCAACGGTATGCAAATCCTTCAGGTGACTTGGCAATTTACAGGCCAAGCTTGCATCTTCTAGAAAAAAAGCCGTATAAATATCTTATCCATTAAAACATACCGTCGGTGTTTACCTGGTTCAAAGTCAGCTACAGGGCTAACTAGTGATTCTGGGCTTCCCACAAGACAAAAGTTATCTGAATGATCATACTCTTCCAGGTAAAGACTGCTCATAAGCTTCACCAGAACCTGTTAACAAAGGATGAAGAACATTAACAATTGTAATAGGTGCCAGTATATAATAACTACTCACTGTTTTGTGTTCCATTGTCATTTTTTTGCAAATTGTACGTTTTCAGCGCGGCAAAAATTTTAGCACTCCTCGAAGACATCTCTACATTGATCGGAAGCCAAATAGCGACTGACTGGAGATACAGATAAATCGCGGTGAGAAAAATACTATCCGTGAAACAAGCTCTGACACGTTCAACGTCTTGTAAGCGATACCCCGGACGGACGGACATAGCACTTCACGGGATAATACCAAGCCCATTGGATACAGTTTACCTCTGACTAGCTTAGTGACTTGGTACTGTACTAAAAACTGCACAGTGCTTTACAGCCAAGAATACAAAATCATGTAGCCAATTGTCAAAGAACGTACAGAAAACAAAAACTTCATCAAATCTGGTAAACGGGACAATCAAATGAGATTCATCTGTCTAATCCTGGAAAAGAAATAAAACAATAAAATTCACTACCGTTTCGGTTGCCACGGAAACCTCTTCCAAGATAAATTGGACTGTATCACAGATCTGGTGCTGAAACATTCTACTCAAGTGGAATTGCTCCTCAAACTCTCTGTTGCGTGAATCAGTAGATAACGGAAATTACATCTGATCTCAAATCATGTACTCAATCTTCAGATTATTGGGAGAAATCGCTTACAGAGGCGTCTTCATAGAAAATGTGAAGTTCTGACATTTCCTTAATGCGTCTTCGGAGGTTAAAAGAAATGGGAAAATACTTGAAAAAATGAGTAAAACGAGCAGGTACAGTTAAAACAGATCAAAATACAAGTACAAAGAAGTTGATACCAAATGTGTATCATAGTATTATGCGTCTATGCTTCAGTCACGATTTTAACACAGAACGACCGTTCTGTTAACACATTTACCAATAATCCTTAAATTAGGTAAACAATTAATTGTATTGTAATTGTAGTATGACACAAACTAAAATCAATTTCAAACCACATGAAAACCACTAAGAGTATGAAATTGCTCCTTGCACCAGCCCTTTATCTTTGATCTGCTTGTTTCTTCCATTATATCCTCCATTCCTTTTTACTGGCAATGGATGGCTTATCAAAGGGAGGGCGCACTACGAACCTTCATAGTACACACCGGATAGATACGTAGAATTATTAGGAATCCTGGCACAGCATCTCTACTTCTCGACACCATTTCAAAATTTCGTTTCATTTCATTTATGTGTGCTAATAAAAAAGACTTATTACAATCGCCATAACATGGAATAAAAAGTCTGATCATATAGCGTTCAAGCCACAACTGGTTAAAATTGGTATAAAGAAAATCATCAATTTTTCAAAAAGCACTGCGGATCAAAACATTTCTAATACGAATCTTAGATCCATTGTTAGGCAGTAATCTTATGTTTAGTGGCAATTTGTTAAAAAAAATTAATTTCCCAGAATCCCGGACCATCTAGACACCATCTAAGTCGCCAGTATGTCGGGCTGAAGTTTCTCTTATTCATCGTGTTATATTCGTGAACATCTTTGAAGCACCTCATACGCCTACAGACCTGGCACAGCCAGAAGCTTCCATCCAATAAATACATGCTTGCAGATACTCTAACTGCCTCAGCTAAACGGACAATGTTGCGGAGGACAATATTCTAAGAAAGGTTTATCGATGAGAACGTCAGTGTGGCTTTTCCATTGGAGCTTAGGTGCAAGTGTCACGCCTAAAAATACAACTTGTTCTCCATCTTAGATGTTTACTTGTTTCGTAGAGAACCTAACTTGCTTAGTCTTCTCACCATTTAGCAACAACTTGCTGGAATATAACCAAATGTTGTCTGTTTCCACTTCAGCATCTGTTTGCTGTTGTACTTCCATCAGAGAGCTAGCTGCAGAAGATATTGATGTGCCATCCACAAAGAGCATATATTTGGGCATTAAACATCGTTAATATAGATGAGAAAGAGTATGGGGCCTTTGACAGAACCTTGTGGCACTCCCACCGATATATTTCTCCGTGCATGCCTCACACCATCAATCTCTACTACATTTGAAAGGACATATGGCTTATTCATGACGCAATACTATTGCTATAGAAGATAAAATGCTTCTCCCCTAACCAATACGAAGTCACATAAATTTTTGATTTGTTCACAATACTCATTTCACCTCTGTATCGATCCATCCTTCGTTCTCTTATCGCTGACGCCCTACTTATTACTGCCCGTAGTCGCTTTCCATTTAATCCCATCGATCCATCCTATGCTTTACTTTCAAAGTGAGCGCTCCCTTCATCCGCTTCATCCTGCAGTACGAATAATTGCCTTTATAATATCAAAAAGGCGTTACCCTCAAACTTTTGACTCCTAAGGTCTTACCTTGATAATAGACACTTCTGCGTCAAGCAAAAATACTCGCATTCCAAATTTCGGCAAATCTGCTCAAGGGTTTCCCAAGGAAGTGTACAAGAACCCATTGTATGCCTAATTTCAACTGCAGGTACCCGCACCACCAGGAGCAATATCTCCTGATGACAGCCGCACAGCTTCTACAGTATATTCAGATAAGAGATAGACCGGACATAAACAAGACCACGTGATCATCGAACGCTGTAACATTCGGCAGGGACGTATTAATAGTCACGCAGTACATATTTTAGGTAGTAGATGCTGCTTTGCGTAACTTTGTAGTAAATTAGCACAATTCGATGTGTATACGATTGGTGATGGATATAGGACCATGTGGGGGTGGGCTACGAAATATATAATGATGTGTAAATATACATAAGGGTTTCAAAATTCTCGCTTCGATTTCCAGCTTCGGATGCCGCCTGATGTTTGGTGAAATACAGTCGAATGTAATCTCAAAATGGCGTTTAAATTAGCCTAAATTAAAAATAATCGTATATCTCTTAAAATTGCTTTTAGAATATTGATTAGTATATTTTTTGATTTCTAGGTAAATATGTAACCAAATTAAAACGTTCAAAACGTAAAAAAATGTGCATGGTTGAACATTGTCAGAAAGTAGATTCTTGAATAGGTTTTGCCAAAATGGGTTCAAAAATGTCAATAATTAATTAAAAAATACAGTAGCTTTATAATTACTTATAACTTACCGAATTTGGTGAACGACATCTTTTATTGGAAAGATGAGCTTGATGAGCTTTCATCATCGCTACTGCCTGAAGCACCAACGTCAATAATGAATGGCTCGACTTGTTCCTCTAAAATATTGTCCAGTTCCCACATTCTCTTTTCAACTTTGTCTTTCACGTGCTTAATACAGTTTTCCCATTTTTACGCTGTTATTAATTCTAGTGCTTCTTTGAAAAGTCCATTGAGGTCACAAAATTTAAAAGTTGTATTGTGCTTAGCTATATAATTTTTAACCTCTGCCCATATGAGCTCAATGGGATTGAGCTCGCAATGGTATGGAGGTAAACGGAGCACAGTTTTATTTTGACTTGCTGCCATTTCGTCAATGGCGTATTTTTGATATTCCGCCTTGTGATCCTTGACAATTCTTAATAATTGTACTTTCAGCATTGCTTCTTCAAAGCTGATATTTTTCGAGCGGAGCCAATTTTGAACATCAACTTTCCTTGAAGCCGTTGTTGGGACCTTCTCCATTCTTCGAGAATGATAAGGCGCATTATCCAACACAATTACTGCGTTTTCCTCTAAGTTCAGTAAAATTTTTGAAAACCACTGTTCAAACGATTCGCCATTCATTTCCTCGTGGTAATCTCCAGTTTTCTTAGACTCAAAGCACCACAGACCGTCAACAACAAATCCATCCTCACTGCCAATATGGCAGATAATGAGCCTTTTCCCTTTACCTGGAAATCGAAGTACTAACTGGTGTAGATTTATTTCAATAAGCGAACCTTTTTCAAATGTTTTCATCACATTCAGCGAAAAAACATTGAGACATGAGTATCAGATTCCTATAATTGGGATTATTTAGTCATATTGAAAGAAAGAATATTGAACGTCGTATGATTACTCAGCGCTTCACAATTTAATTTAAAGTTATAAACCTTTAAAAAATGAATGATCAGGAACCTGAAATACGCGCAAATATTAATATTAACAAATTATAACTTTATAAAGCTTAAAGTATGGATTAAAATGATTAGAAATATTAGGAACGGTACACAATATAAAACTTAGTAACTTTTTTTAAGTTTATAATATTCGACATATTTTAAGATTATATTAAAAAATTATTGAAATATCGAAAACACATAATAAAAACATGGCTTAAAAAAGTTCTAACAAATGAAAATGACAATAAAACATCCACGCATTTTATCGAAAGTTATAAAAGTTTTGTTACTTGTAATATGTTTTATCTGCCCCCTGGAATTAATGTTTAGAACCTTGTTCCCAAGGTTTGAAAAACATCCGTTTGTTGTCTATTACTCGTATTTACCTGCTGGATTTTTTAATCCGGTAGACAGTCCATCTAGAAAGGCCCTCCTGGATGAAGTTACAGAATCATCAACCCATACTTTACTTGTAGTGTGTCCTGCGTTTACCCACGTTTCATCAAGGTAATAAATCTTCCTGTTTTGATTTCTATATTTCCCAATTTTTGTTAAATAATCCCTCCTCCATAGCACAATTTCTTCTCTATCCAGTAGTAAACTATTACGACCCCGTTTTTTCCATTTGAAATTTAAATGCTTCAGTAACGCATGGAAAGTTGATCGTTTGAAATTTGGCAACGTTGTATCTCCATTTACCTCCTGCAGTACTTTATCCAATGATTTAACAATACTTTTGCGATGTTTACTGGTCATTGGCTCAGAAAAGGTGTGATTTTTTTTTGTATTGTCTTAACACATTAAACACTGATGCGCGACACACCCCAACTTTGTGAGAAACCTTCACAACAATTTCTTTGATGGTTGATGCCTCGTTCTCCTCGCGCTCGATCTTATATATATTCAAAATGACCTCTTTCATTTCTGCACTCAGGTGTCTTTTTTTAGAGCGTTTCCTAGGTGGACTACAGGAGTTTACAACTTCATCGGCAGTATCTGTACTACTGGGCATTTTCGCAAGCAGTTGATAACAATAACAATCAATAACAAGGTATAACAATAACAACGACAAACTCAACAACTTAATAAGATAACAAACGAAAACGTCCAAAGAAATATCAAATTGCAATGATGCACACGACATACGTAACACGTCTGAACCTGAATGTGACTCTGCCTTGATACGACTGCTCTGCCGCTCGGCATAGGCATTTAATTGCGAATTGACCAATGAGGGCTCCTGTTTTACGTCGAGACAGCGGCGTTAGCGTGAAAATCACCCGAACCTTTTGTTTACATCCGGTCTATCTCTTATCTGAATATACTGTACAAGTAGATTTGAACCAGATGGAGATCTGTTAAAAAAGTGGCACATCCTAGTATATATTGTCTAAAACACTTCTAGTACCATATTTGGTGTAAGGGTGTGTAGTACTTTACAGTTGATAATTATACACAAAGTTTTGCCACTGTCTTCTGTCTTTTGCAAGTATGCTAGCTTCTGCTGGTGTAAATCCTCTCCTTTTTATTGTTTCTTCCATAGCTTTGTCCCACGTTGTTTTAGATATTCCTCTCGATCGACTTGGTATCGTCCTTGTCTGCCATATTCTTTTCACGTGTCCTTCATCCGGTTTATGTATCCAAACCATCTCAGCTGGCTTTTTTGATCTCCGTTGTTACTGCTTCTACTCCCAGATCTTATTTGTTCGTTCCATATTTTGTCTGCTCTCAAATGCTATTTCCTTGTGAACCTGATTTCATCAATCAATTTGTTTTCGAGTAAACATTAACTATTTTATGATTTTTTTAAAACCGTCCATCCTCTCTGCCGCACCCTGTATATCCTTAGCTTGGTATCGAGCGATAGTTCCTTTTTGGCTAAGCTTCTTTTATTTAGAACATAGTAAAGTTTCGCAGCAGCATTTATTCTTTCATTTAGATCATTTTCATGTCTTCCTTTAGAGTCTGCTGTGGTTCCTAGATATTTGAATTCACTTGCGCATTCTAGTCTATGTTCTCCTATTAGTAGAGCGGCATTGTTTTCATGTCTCGCTATTGCCATTATTTTACTCTCGTCTGTGTTTATTTTCATGTTCCTGGACGTGAGAGCTTGGTCCTATATGGTTAGATTTGTTTGTAGATTTCTTTCACTATCAGCAAATATGGCAAGATCGTCTGCAAATGCGCGCTCGGTTATTGTTACGACTTGTAGGTTTTTATAGTGGATACCAAATAAAACCCGATGCACGTCATCGATCTGGAGCTGTGCGCTGTTGCCAGAATTGATATGAGCTCTTTACACCGACTGTTGTTTTGGCATTTTGGATACTTTATACCACTTCACAGTAACTTTTGTTCTGAAAAGAACAACTTTTAATTGGCAAGGCAACGATTCAAAGCTCAAATAGCGCAAAACTCACAAACTAAACAATAAAGAACTAATAGTACGACAAAAGGACAATGGCAACTGATGTCAACAAATGAGAAGTGGCAACCTCACATTTCTCTGCACGGCACTACCAACCGAATCGAGACGGGGAAATTTAAACTTCAAGTAGAAATGTCACATTGAATGTAGTCAACTGTTGGTAACCATGATTTTTATGAATGACATCACCTATGACGTGCATCGGATTTTATTTGGTATCCACTATATATCCTAATAATAGTATCTTAGAATTTCTGCCATACTTGCTTAATCTTGCACATCCTGGTAAATAGTTAAAATTCAGTTCAAGCCACATTTACTACTTGCAGAGACACTTGTCTATCATGACTGATAGCACATTATAACAATCGAACCATGCCAGATACCATGGAACGTATTCAGACCATGAAATAGTTCCCGTGCTAGCTGTCTCAGGTTAATGGGTACGAAGACGGTGTTACGACGATAACACTTTATTTACTAAGATAGAGGCCGCTTTACAACTCACACTATATAATTCGAAATAAAAATAGAATAGCAGTAACAATGTTCGTACGTCCTCTTTCTGCCGATGCTCATGCCCGTCTCCTCGCGCAACCCGTCCTCAGGGTCTTGCTACCTGGCTTCCGTCGCACTTTGCACTCCGACACGCACTCACACCCGGTCGCGCTGTTGCCGAACCTCTTCAACCATGAACTGCGCACACGCATCTTCACTAAACTGAACCAGATGGAAAAACGCGCAGATTATTAGGCCGAATATAAAAATTGACATTGAAAAGTAAGATTCTCTTCTATTCCCTCTATTGTAGATAAAAATATTCAAGGAAAGCTGCATCACGAGTTTAACTCGCTGACTTTACAGATTGACATAATGAAGTCTGCTGCTTAAAGGACAATCATTATTTGCTTAGGCATTTATGGTTATCGTTATTTATCTAGAGATAGAAGAGCTAGTGCTCAATAGGGCGTTGCCGTCAATTATGGTATATTTTTAGGTTAGCCGTAAAAAAATTCAACCCGTAGTCTCTTCCCGTTTACTCCTATCGATTACCTGGTCTTTATTTTCAAAGTAGAGGCGCTACCCCTCGGTCTGCTATCCCTTTCCCTTTTCACTCTCCCGGTTTCTCTTGCAGTACGCATAATTGCCATTAATCCGGCAGAGGGAGCTCGATGAGGCTTCCCCAACGCCTGATCGCTGGAGCGAAATCAGGTGGATATTCTTTTCCAGACCATTTGATTAAGCCGGTGTTGAAATTGCTGACCCGCTATGTGCGACCTGTAGATGTGCTCGTGACCTGATTTCGTATTTTTGCTTAAAGCAAAGCGACTCTTCCTTCGAGCGTTTACTTGATTGACTTTCCGGCATATAAACAAAATATAAACATTTGCATTGAGTGGTTAAAATTAAATAACGCAAACATATCGGTATCAACTTCTCGATAAAGTACGTTTTATTACCCGCAATTGAGCACGCACCTGTTCACTGAGTGCCGCAAGGTTATTACGTATATATATAATGTCAAAAGAATAAATAATAGTTCAAGGCCCAATTTCACCAACATTAATATTATAGACCAGTGAGAAAATACCTCATCAAAATGCAATTTGACAGAAGCTGTCAAAGGTCTCTGAATATTAGTGATTTCTATTGAAATATTGAATAAAATCGTGAAAATTCGACTGTATTATAAACAAGACCACTTTTTGATTCCAACATGATGCTTTTGTATAGAAAAAACAGGACAAGTTTCATGTATTTTGATATATGCTATAGGTTTACATTTAACAATCCGTTATCCCCTTCAGCGAATAGGAATGCGGCAAATAAAGGGTCGATTTTCTAGCTGTTAAATTTGGCAGCACATTTGGACATTTCTTAATGCATGGCACTCTCGAATTTACCAACTTCAATATACTGAAAGTTATCATTACATACCTGTTGAATAGTGTGGATTTGTCTGTATTTTGCAAGAAAATAGAATATAAAACACATTCCATTAATTTCCTCATCCTCGTTTACGTCATAATATAATTAATAATTTATGGGTTAATGAATTTCTTCAAAGCAATAAAAACATTATGTCCTCTCCATCCTAAAACACAGATAATATGTGTAAGGCGTGTCAATCCCTACATCTCCCTGATGCATAATGCAATTACTATGGACATAGACAAAAAATTATGAAAAATGTTTTACAGATGATGGCTTTCAAGTCCAAAAATCAAAAAAACTAGTAATGTTTATTGTGTGTCTATTTTTCTTTTTTGACTGGCGGGGATATCTATCTAATACTCGCAGGGTTGCCAAGTCTAACGACGATCACGTCCCGTGGTGGAGGGTGCGAAATGAATCTTTTACATTTGCTAGTTTTGAATTTTTTATAAGCATCTTTGGTAGATTGTTCTATCCTGAATGGGAAAGGTCTCCTATTTATGAAAATATTTTTGGTATCATCTAACCGTTGCAATCAGTGCACAAACACTGTGACATATGATTTATAGCATAACCCGCTGCCCTATCAATACAAATACAGGTCGCCTAGCCGTGGGGATGCAGTGGTCGGGATGAATATCACGGCAGCAACTGACGATTTGGGCATGTCTGGTAACAACGTATGAAGTGAAACTCGCTAACTTCACATGGGTGAAAGGGGATACTAATGCACAATCTGGCAACCCTGTCGCACCCTCACAAAGTGGCCGCTGATAACCACACAAGTCACCGTGTTGTCATTGAATAGCATGGAAATAAACCTTCAGAGTATATGTTTTGTGACTGGTACCAAGAGTTGAGACATGTGTCACTCCTTGAAATGCAATAATCAGCTGTATTCAAATAATGTCTTATATATATATATATATATAACCTAGAATGTGTACTCGTGAAGAAAGAAAAATATGGCAAATTTGTAGTTTTTTTTTTGTAGGTTTTAGGTTAGTTGGTAGCTTTAAGACATATATTTGGGAATTTCTTAATCGCTGTGAATAAAGTGTGGATGTTTGTTCAGTTCCTGAACAACGAAAAATATTTAACTGCAAATGTCGCGACCATCTTTTTCGAAACACTTCGAGAACGGATGACTTTTGTTGGCTTTTCTTCACCTTGGAAGACCCAAACAGCCGACTGTCGTTTGTTTTCTGGTTCATAATAGTAAATCCACGATTCGTCACCACTAACAGTGCTGTACACATTTTTTGAGTTTCCGGAATTGAGACGGTCAAGCGTTTTTCGACACCAATTAACCCTGACTTCTTTCTGCTCTTCAGTCAACAGGTGGGGTATCCAACGAGAAACTAATTTTCTTACTCCTAATTCTTGATGTAAAATTTTTTGAATTGAGGTCTTTGAAATCTTCAAGGGCGCCTCAATCTCGCGATATGTCACATGTCTATCTTCAATGATGAGTTTGCGCACATCATCGACGTCTTCCTGGGTGACTGCCGTTTTTGGTGCACCCACTCTGTGATCGTCGCTAAGAGTCACCCGTCCACGTCTGAATTCTCCATACCAACGGGAAATTATCGGCTGATGTGGCGCTTCGTTGCCGAAAACAGACAGTAACTCAGCAAGGCATCCTTGTTGCGATAATTGTCTCTGAAAGTTGTGATAAATTATGGCGCGAAAATGTTCTCGGTTGAGTTCCATTTTTCTAATGACTTGGTTACACTTAAAAATTCACTGTAGTGAGAACACTGCACTTATTGTGGTGACACTTTGAGTTTAAGTTTACTAAAGAGTGGGGTTAAGATTCAGTACTGACGTTCGATCCGTGCGGCCTACTATGTTTCTATATGCAAAACTTAAAAGACATCCCTCGTATCAATATTCCGTTTTTGGGAGAATGCGCAATTAAAGGGACAGTCCATTCAGAAAAATTGCCATAAATGTACTCGTATGTATGTAATATCACGAGACTTCGTATTCCAGGAATTTACAGGTTTTCCAAAATTTTCCAAATCATCACAACTTTGAAAGTTTTAAAAACTTCCAAATTTGCAAAAAATTTCAAAATATCTGATATTTTTAATTTTCAGAGTTACCAAAATTTTCAAAATCTTGGCAATTTTCGAAATTTTGAGGATCTCTAAGATTTTCATAGTTTTGAAATAAAATTTTCAAAATTTCCGAAATTTCAAAAATTTTAAAAATTTTCAGTTTTAAAAATTTTCTAAATATTCAGTTTTCCATACTTTCTAAATTTTCTAGAAGATTTTCAAAAATTATAACTTACAATATATTGAGAATTTTCGATTTACAGAAATTTCAGCATTTTCAAAACTTCGATAATTTTGAAGACTTAACTATGGCGACACCTTAATACAAAAATCCTAAGATTAAATTGCGGTGATTGAGAAAGAGCTTTAGTATGGAATCCTTGAGCAAAGGTTGTGCTGCTCTCGAAAGTTTGTAATATATGTATCATAAAATTATAGTATTGAATATCGCCGTAATTTGGAAGCACTAGGTATTCAGTCAATACAGCGTCGCATGTCTGTAAAACACAGGGGACCCTCTGCTGACTGCTCACTTAATCACTAGCGCGTACGGTTATTGTATATGGGTATGCGTGTATACCACCACGATCGTACGTCAATTACAAATTTAATGCAGTGGATCGAGTCACTCCGCTCTACCGCAAGTTACGTAATATGTTAAAACCCCAAAAGATTGATGTAAAACATGAAAATTATCCAGTGGTTTTCTTGTCGATAACCCATTGAAATTAAGAATGATGACGCAATCTCAGCATGTCACGGATCTTTCACCCTTTTAATAACTACACTAGCTAGGAATGTAGAAACGAAAAGAAAAAACAAACGTAGTGTCACCTGGAAGATTTTCAAAATTTTCAAGATTCTCAAAACTTACAAAAATTTCTAAACTCATGATTTTCAATTTTTTTAAAACATTCAGAATTTTCTAAATTTCCTATATTCTGAAAACTTTCAAAGTTTTGAAAATTGACAGATTTCCAAAATTTTTAAAAAATATGAAATTTTTAATTTTGAAAATTTTCAAAATCTCTCACTCTCTCTCTCTATCTCTACGTACATAGCGCACGCTTCTTACCGCTTCTCTCTCGAACACATTATCTTGATAGTGATATTTGAATTTCTGTGTATATATTATAGTATACATATGTGTCTGGTTAGCTAAGTCATATCTGTTATACTTTCTGTGTCTAGATACTCTAATTTTAATTGAATCCACTCGTATTATACCGCAAAGGATGACCCCTTTTTGTCGCAATCGCACCTTCTCACGGTTCACTCGCTAAAAGACTAACAAAACTTTAATCTACACCTCCACACTGACTTACATAACCTAGTAGCATGTGGAGCTCACTTTCTAGAAATATAAGATCGACAAACCCCGCGAAACATTTCGATAAATCTACACTAGAACAAAACTGACAGAACAGAACCTACTATCTATCAAATACGAGGCCCTTCCCACTTCAGTTGGCCCAACTATTGAAATCTTAGTTTTTTTCTTATCAAACACAAATAATAAAAATGTAGCAGGGTTTTATAGGTTTAAAATATCAACAATAAATATTTCGATAATATATAGTACAAAACACCAACTTTATCACTCCCTAATCAAATTTGCAGCATAAAAATAACACATGTTGCAATTACAGCATATCAACCTATTTTAATTTCAATGCAAAATAAGTCTATAACGCATAGGTGGCTGTGAAAAATAAAAGCCATGACAATCGTTTTTATTAATCACAGCTGTCAGAATACGTTTAAAATAGTTTTGGGTAGTTAAGGTTTTCAAAATGGGTAGAGGAAAGGTTATTAGTGAGAAAATTCGGTTACTGATAATTACATTTTTTAATTCTGGGAAATTAAACTCAGAAATTGCAACTTTATTAGACTTGTCGCGGTATAGTGTGAGAAATATTGTTAGAAGATATAACGTAACTGGTTCAGTTAATATTAAGCCACGATATGTGAAAAAAAGTAATATCACAAATGCCGACCGAAGAGTATTAAGAAAAATAATGGTGTAAAACAGGCGTGCCAATTATTTACAATTAAGTGCTCTGTGGAGTGACGCTGTAGGAAGGAGAATTTCGAGGTTCACAACTCATAGAGAGGCCCACAAACTGGGATTTAGCACTTGCAAGGTAAGTTTTCTTATAAAAAAGAGTGAAGGAAAAACCCTAAAGTTGCACAACTTGTTTATAGGCCAAATAAAAGCCACTATT